AGTGCCGGCGAGCCAGGCCCCGGTCGTCGAGGCGGCGTTGGCGGTCTTCCAGCTTCCCTCCTCCGTGCCCTTGAGGAGGAGGAGCCTTTCACCCTCCTCGTCGTGGCGGCTTGCGAGGTGGCAGGTTTGAGGTTGCAGTGGTGGGGCAGTGCCAGCCAAAAATAACCATGGGGCGCTGGGGTGGCGGGCCTTCGTGAGGGCCGTCGCCGACCTGGCTGGCGGCACTTCTGGTCAGCCCAGTTCTCCGGCCAGGAACAGCAAATGAGCCGAGGACGCCCGCTGCGCCCCGAGGAGAAGAGCTGGCATCAGCCTGCCGCGCCTTCACATGACGTTTCCCACCCCCCTGCCCCCTTCTCTCATTGTGAAGAGCAGAGAACCTCCCAAAGATAGTTGGGCCTTAGCTTCTCTAGAAGGCCTGGGTGAGAGGCCACCCCAGCGCCACTTTAGGTGGGAGGCTGAGGAGGGGGTCTGGTGCATGTGCTGGTTCACCTGCCTGTAATGTGTTGAGGGATGGCTTCCCTTATTGTCGTGGTGTGTGTGTGGTGTGTGTGTGCTCTTTTTGTTTCTATTTTTTGCACTGTGGGTCTCCTGCTTGTCATCTCTCCCAAACTGGTTGGGAGGTGCCCTTGTTCTGTGTTCCCCAGGTATGGTAACCAAGGTCTAGACCGCAGGGGTCCTCTAACTATGGCCCGCGGGCCACATGTGGCCTCGAGGACATTTATCCGGCCTGCCGGGTGTTTTTGCCCCATTTGTTTTTTTACTTCAAAATAAGATTTGTGCAGTGTGCATAGGAATTTGTTCATAGTTTTTTTTTAAAAAAACTATAGTCCGGCCCTTCAACGGGTCTGAGGGACAGTGAACTGGCCCCCAGTTTAAAAAGTTTGAGGACCCCTGGTAGAGTGACTGGCTTAGCTTTTTGAGGACAGTGAGGCACAACACTGGGGATTGAGCCAATTTTCCTGTCCAGAATGCTCTCTTTGCCAAGATTCTTGGGAGGGGCCTTCGAAACTGTTCTCTTGCCCCTCAGGCATTTAACCCTGGCCCAGGCTTGTTAACTGGGATCTTGACCCCTTTGGGGTCTTTTGTGGGCCCAGGCCTGTGCTAGCCCCGATGCTTAGAGGAGAGACACATTGATGCCTCACAACCACCTTGCTGGAGACGATCAGTTCCCAGGGGAAGCTGAAGGATTGGAGCAGCGGAGTAACCTGCCTGAGGACACACAGTTCGGGGCGGTAGGGTCAGGATCCAACCTGACTTCTGTCCTGAGTCTGAAGCAGGGAGACAGAGGTGTTTTTTGGGTTCTGGGAGGGAGGCTGTGGCCTGGTGTGGACTTGAATCCTCCTGTTCTGATCCGTGCTAGGTGAGATGGGCAGGGCCCCACTGGTCTGTGGGCGGGCCTGTTCCTGCCACTGGAGCGTCTTCCCAGTCAATTAGAGAGATGTGAGGTGAGCGTTCATTCCATAGCTCGGGCACCTGCCCTAGGGTAATTGCAGGAAAACAGGGACGCGTTAGTCAGCTGATCATCAAAACAGCACAGAAATCCAAGCTCTTAAGAATCTGTCAGCCATTTCACCAGGTGTTTATCTCACAGGAATGCCCAGAGGTGGACCCGTGCCACTTGCTGGACTGTCCAGGTGGAAAAGAGGAAACATTTGATTTGCTGCTGGGGCAATGGAGGCTAGGGACTTGGTCAGGAACATTGAGGCACTTCTAGGCATTTGGCCAGGCCGACCTAACTGCCCCACTCACCCCCACAGGGAGCTGTGCCGTGCTGCTATCCTTCTGGTGGACCGCCCTGTCTCCGTGGTGCGGCCTCAGTGGGTTTGTCCCAAACGTGCTTGGTCAACCGAGCCCAGGAGGCTGCTGTCGCCTAGAAAGGGTGCGATCTGGCCCAGCCCTCCCATGGAGGCAGTGCCGGGGCTCCGGGCTTGGGTGGAGCTGGGAGTTGGTCTCACATAGCCACCTCTCAGTGGGTGCTGGGCCCTCTGGGGCTTTGCTGGTCTTCTATTGGCTGCCTCCCTGTGCAGCCAGCCCGCCTCTCCGCTGCTCAGAGATGGAATAGGAGTGGGCATGGAGCAGGGGGATGAGAAGAGGGGACAGCAAAGGCTATGCTAGATGGACATGAGGTGCTGTCCAGCCTGGCACCCTGGGCAGGCTGAAGGCTGCTAAATGGGCTTTGAGCAAGAAACATGGACACTCTAGGGACTCTGGCATCCCAAGGGTGCTGAGACTGGGTGCCTACCATTGAGGGATGGCTAGACTCTGAGGTGGACTAGGTACTGTTTGCAGGACCCCATGGCTTCTGTCTCTGAGGGCTGGGCTTCTCATCTGTGGCTCCTCACATTGACTTGTGGGCCATCGTTCCTCGAGTGGGGTCCAGCTCTGGGCCAGGAGACTTTAGGCTTCTAAGTGGAAGGTATGTCCCCCTACTCCCGTGTTGTTAACCTCTTGCCAATAGCCCTTTGACTCCGGCCCCTAGTTTTACAGCCTGGTCACTTCATAGTCAGTCCCCTACCCTATCTCCCTGATATTGTCCCCCTGAAGCTTTTTTTTTTAAAATAATTTTATTGGGGGCTCGTACAATTCATATCACAATCCATACATCCATCCATTGTGTCAAGCACATATGTACATTTGTTGCCATCATCATTCTGAAAACATTTGCCTTCTACTTGAGCCCTTAATATCAGTTCCTCATTTTCCCCCCTCCCTCCCTCCTCCCCCCTCCCTCATGAACCCTTCATAATTCATAAATTATTATTATTTTGTCATATGTTACACGGCCAAAAAACCCCCCCACCCCCTTCTCTGCTGTCCATCCCCCAGGGAGGAGGCTATATGTAAATTCTTGTAGTTCCCCCTGAAGCTTTGCTCATCATTCCTACCTGCCCACTGGCCTTGGCCACCGGTGCTCAGGCCAGTGAGGCTCTGCCTGGGAGACAGCTGCTGGCTGGTTCACTGGCAGAGAGCGAGAGCGAGCGTTGTCTGCTCCTGGCCAGTGTGACCTCAGAGTTCTTCTTCACTTCATAAACCCCTGCGGGGGCTGCCCCCCCAGCAGAACAATGGGCCTCTGCAGCGGCCTGGCTGCCCGGCAACCCCAGAGCTGGAGGTGGTGGCAGCTAGCTGAGCAGGGCGCCCTGTCTTGTGGCCTAGATGCATCACTGTAAGCGATACCGCTCTCCTGAGCCAGACCCGTACCTGAGCTACCGATGGAAGCGGAGGAGGTCTTACAGCCGGGAGCATGAAGGGAGACTGCGCTACCTGTCCCGGAGGGAGCTGCCGCCCCGCAGGTCGAGATCCAGGAGGTGAGCGGGCATGAATGGGGTGGCTGGGATGGCCTGTGGACATCCTGACCTCCACCTTAGCTTCAGGCCAAAGTGGCAGTGCAGGTCTGTGGCCCTTCCGCTGCTGTACTGACCTCGAGAGCCTTCCTTGGTGGGGGTGGGGTGTGTAGCCCTGGCTAGTAGTTGGTTCCTGCTCCAGCCTCTGGCCACAGACTCCCAGGAGTCCGAGGGCCTGGACGGGCCTTCCTTCCCCACTGTTCTGCCTCCCTTCCTGCCCCCTCCCTCGGCCCTCTCCCTGCCAGTTTGGCTTCTGGCCTGGCAGTAGGGAGCTGGCTGGTGGAAGGAAGAGCTCTGCTGACCACCTGCCTGCCTTCTTGGCAGCCATGACCGCCTGCCCTACCAGAGGCGATACCGTGAGCGGCGAGAGAGTGACCCGTACCGCTGTGAAGAGCGGAGCCCATCCTTGAGTGAGGACTGCTATGGGTCATCGCGGGTCCACCACCGCCGGCGTTCCCGGGAGAGGGGGCCTTATCGCGCCCGCAAGCATGCCCACCACTGCCACAAGCGCCGGACCAGGTCTTGTAGCAGCGCCTCCTCGGTGAGTGGTTCCAGAGTGTGCTGGCGGGGCTGCCAGGCCTCAGCTCTGGGTGCTCTCTCTTCTCTCAGGCTGGTGGGTCTGGGTGAGTACTGCCCGCCCTGAGCACACACGTGGTGTGCGTGTGTGTGTGTGTGTGTGTGTGTCATCTGGTCCAGGTGCCGCGCTGAGCCGGGTGGCCGGCCGCCCTCAGCTATGTGGCAGTGGCAGTTCTGTGGGCTCTGGTTCCGGCGCTGGCTGGCCAGTCCCTGGGCTCTCTGTCTTCAGGCTGCTCTTGGGGACCCAGTAGTGGTGCTGTTCTGTGTCTGCATGCTCTGGGTCTTCCCTCCTGGAGGTTACCTGGCAACTCAGCTTCTGAGTGGTGTGGCGGGTGTCCACCTTCCAGTCCAGCTCTGCTCACCTGCCCGCCCAGGTTGCTGGGGGCTACCTGTAGGTGAGAGTGGCAGTTGCTGGCCCTGGGCCGAGAAGGGCCTAGCCGGTGGTCCTGGCGTGGTGATCCTTCCTCCAGGCCCCTGGGAAGGAAGCCAGGTTGAATCTCTGCGGCGCCCGAATGTGCTGCCTTCTTGGCCCCCTTCCCTCCTGCTCCCCACGCGTCCAAAACGGAGGCGCGGCCATCCGGTCTTCCCTTGACGCTCAGTGGCCCTGGCAAGGGGAAGGGGCCTGTGTGGGTGAGCCTGGCGCCACCTGGTGACCTCAGCGCAGTGCCACAGGTTGGCCGTGCGGGCCCAGCCTTGCTCCTTCTCTGGCACCCTCTTTCGTCGTGAGGCTCGGGATGGGCCTGTCCCGGTCGCCGAGTCCAGGGCCAGAGGTGGCCTGGGCTTGTATGGGCCGTGGTGGAAGGATCCTGCATGCCAGCCTGTCTGGCCCATGCCCTGCCTGCTCGAGGCTGGTGGCAGGAAGGGCTGCGGCTGGCAGGCCGTGTCTGGAAGTGGCGCTCAAGTCTGGCCACAGATGCCGTCTGGGGACAGTTAGCAGCTTGGCTGAGTGGCCGCAGTCGGGCATGCGCAGGGCTGCAAGGACAGCCAGGCGTTCTGCAGGAGAGCCAGGGTGGCCCGCTGACCGGTCCCGATGGGCTGGCTGCCTTCTTGCGCCGTTCTCTCTACGTCTTCAGCTTGGGCCGAAGCCACCACGGGAGGGCCTGGGAGAGGGGTGGGCTCCCGGGCTGTGGCTCTCCTCACGGCCCGGGCCCTCGGCAGCAGAGGTCGGCGGTCTCTCCTCCCTCCCAGCACTCGCTCCTCCGCCTTGTAGATAATGTCCGAGTTTTCTTTACATACCTGTAGCTGTTTTTACTTTTCTGTGTTTGAAGTCAGTTTGTGTCTTGACGTGTCCCTTGCAATATCCCTATCGTTATATATGCTGTGTGCCTTATGAAATGCTGGGATCTGGAAAATCCAACCACCAACCCACCGGCTCCGCACCGTCTCCGCCTCTGCCTTTGACTGACACCTCAATCTGTCAATCGGAACCGCCTACCATGCGATTGGTCGGATGGCGTTTCGGGGGGCGGTGCATGCAGAGAAGCCAACAGAGCAGTAAGCGCAGCAGCCGGAGTGTGGAAGATGACAAGGAGGGCCACCTGGTGTGCCGGATCGGCGATTGGCTCCAAGAGCGATGTACAGCCACCTTTCGTAAAACTTTACCTCTCTACTTCCTACCCCCCTTGTTAGAGCAGACTCTCCTGCCTGGAGGGGCTGCTAGCGCGCGGGGCGCCTGCGCGGGGCCGCCAGTAATTGCCTGAGCGGCACAGACACTAGCAGCTTCCGTTGTTAAGAGTGTAGCCGTGCGAGAGAAGCCTTTTTGTGATTAAGAATTTGAGTGCTGTGACTCACAGGAGCGCCGGCCCCCCTGCCCGGCAGCCCCTCACGCCCTGCTTCTTTTCTCTCCTAGATGAGATTGTGGGGAACCTGGGCGAGGGCACTTTTGGCAAGGTGGTGGAGTGCTTGGACCATGCCAGGTGAGTGAACTGGGAGGGGAGGGGCGGGGCGGGGGTCGTCAGAACTGACCTTTTTCTTTCTGAAGACTAGCCCCAAAGCCAGAGCCGACCTGTGCCAAATGGGGTTCTACTGACCCCATGAGATAAAGGGGGGCATTCTTGGGGTGTTCTTGCTGGATGGTGCCTGGTTCTGCCCCGATTTCTTCCTCCCCAGGGCCATGGTGGTGGCTCTCAAGGCAGGACCAGTGGCCTGGCACCTAGCCCCTGGACCCTTGGAGGGTCTTGACCTGGCAGCGCAGAGAATGCTGCTATCTTACCTCCTCTTGGCCCCATTTCCCTGGCGTGTTGCCCAAGCAGGCCAGTGGTTCTGTCGATGTGGCCAGGGTGGAGTGGAGTGTGCTCATCACCAGGTGGGATGCCGGGGTGCTGCTGCAGCCACCCCCTCCCTTCCAGGCGTAACAGAAAACCTGTTTTACCCCCTAACCATCTCCCAAAGCTCAAGCATAAGAACAGTGAGGTGCAGGTTCGGGCATGTTTCGTTCTGTTGTGCGCAAGGTCACTGTGAGTCGCAGCCGACTCCTCTGCACTACCAGCACCAGTGCCCTGTAGGGGGACCTGCCTCCGAGGGCGCCCCTCTTCCTGGTCGGCTACTTTAGTCACAGGTGCTATGTTTTTGCCGTCCCAGTGGCCAGTGGACTTGCCAGGGACAACCGCACACGCAGGTTGTCCCCGTCTCCCAGCTGTGGGGGTGGGTGGGAAGAAGGGGAGCTGGGCATCACCCACAATAAGAGGGTGCTCAGAAAGGACCCTGAGACCAGCAGTCTGGCCATCCCAGCACCCCAAGATAAGATCACACTTGCTCTCTGCCCCATTTAAACTTCCCTCCAGCCAATTGAGGGTGGAGCTATTTTATTCCTGAGCGTGTCGTCACACAGGTGTGGCAGATCGAGGGCTGCAGCTCGTGAGGGCAGCTGTGCTCTCCGAGCTGTGCCACTCTGAGGAGCTGCAGGGGTGGGTGGGGGCAGGGAACCTTGGGGCCCCTGGTCCAGTGGGGACTGGGGAAGGCCGCACCCTCCTGCCCTGCGAGCGCCCCTGTGAAACGGTGACCCCTGCCACAGCAGGGTAGGTCCTGTTTCGGGGAAGCCTGACCTGGTGGCTTCTCTGTGGTGTGGCGAAGAGCCTCTTCTCCAGATGAGGCCTTGCCCCGGGGCCTGTGAGCCTTCCTGAGGCCGAGGATGGGTGCCCTGTGCCGGGGCTGGCGACTGTACCTGGGCAGGAGGGTACCTCTCTCGGATCCTGGGGGCAGTTGGGGCTGGCTGGGGCAGGGAGTGCAGAGCAGAGATTAAGACCCTTCATAGGGAACCTGGTATTGAGCTTGTGGCTGGGAGGCCGGTGAGCTGCGAGAGGGGTGTGGTAAAAGATAGCAGTCCCTGGCCTTGGGAGAAGACCCACTTCTCACTCCTTGACCTTAATTTTACTTTACTCCACTTCGGGGGGCACTTGTTGATATATGGGGTCCTGGGTGGGATGGTCTAGCCAGGGTCCAGGCTTAATTGGCCTTGCGGCAGGCTCACCGCGTGAACTCTGGACTGGCTTCTGCTCGCTCTGCCCACACTTACCCCTGGGAGCAGGATGTGGTTTATGAAAGCTGGAGGCTGGCACGGGTGGCTAGAGTATTCCTGTGCGCACTCGCACACATGCCAAAGGGGGGTGGGGGGGTGCCGTATGTGTGTGTGTGTGTGTGTGTGCACGAGAGTGCGCACGCTGGCAGCCTGGGCTTGTTCAAGCCTCTGCTCTTTGGGAGGCAAATGGGCTCCTGCTGAGTGGGGCTTGCTGGGGCTGTGGCGGGGACAGGGTGGCGGAGGCCAGGCACTGCTGACCAGGACCCACCTTCCTCCTGACCCAGAGGGAAATCTCAGGTTGCCCTGAAGATCATCCGCAACGTGGGCAAATACCGGGAGGCCGCCCGGCTCGAGATCAACGTCCTCAAAAAGATCAAGGAGAAGGACAAAGAGAACAAGTTGTGAGTGTTGGCAAGGCACGGCAGAGAAGCCTTCAGGGGAGTCCATTCCAGGCCCTGGGGCGGGGAGCTGCATCCCGTCAGTGGCTGGCACTGTGCCGCCTTTGCTTGGCACAGAGACCTGCTGGAAGGAGCCTTTGGACTTCAGTCCAGGCCTCACTCCAACCAGCCTTGTGCTCTGAGGCAGGCGGGCCCTCTCAGCAGCTGTGGACCAGTTGCAGGGGGCCTGTGAGGCCACTGGGGTGGGGGCACGCTCAGGTAGTGAGGGTTACCCAGAGGAAAGCCTGTCTTTGGCCAACATGCTGAGTTTCCTCTTCTCCGAGCACTGGGCGGCCCCTGGAGCAGCTCAGTGGAGTGAGGGTGCCATTCCTTCCGACCTGAACCCCAGCCCTCCCCAAACCTGGCAGGAAGCTCAGCTGATCTGGGGGGTGGAGATGTGGTGTGCCCCCCCTCTGTTCACTGATGGTGTGGGGCTGGGTTTCATCCTGAGACGGGGGTGGGGAAGCCCAGCACCGAGCCTGGAGCCCACCCACCCTCCTCCGCAGCCTGTGCGTCCTCATGTCGGACTGGTTCAACTTCCATGGGCACATGTGCATCGCCTTCGAGCTACTGGGCAAAAACACCTTCGAGTTCCTGAAGGAGAATAACTTCCAGCCTTACCCTCTGCCCCACGTCCGGCACATGGCTTACCAGCTCTGCCACGCCCTTCGATGTAAGTGCCACCCGTTTCTGGAGCACACCATTGGGCCCCTTTGGCTGAACGTGGGACCTCTGAGGAGGGCAAGGTAGAGGCCCTTCCAGGACCTCTGTCCCCGGGCAGTGAGAGCTGCTACTGGAGCACTAGCTCGGCTCCCCACAAAGCAAGACCCCATTCCATTCCCACGGACAGCGACCCTGTATGTCTTTATGGGGCCAGATAGCAGCTTTGTCTTTCTTCCTCTGAGCAGCTGATGGGTTTGAACGACCAAATTTGCAGTTAGCTGTCTGACACCCCCACCAGGGCATTTTGGTAGAGGAAGGAGATACAAAAATGAAGCCCACTGCTGGCAAGCTGATGGGACTCATTGTGTCCCTATAGGACAGGTATCCCCCAGACTGTCGGTCCTTATGGAAGCTGACTGCCCATATATGTCTCCCATGGAGTGGCCGGCAGAGCGCTTTCACCTCTCTCTCTCCGGGGCTCCTGCATAGCCAGGAACTAGACTGAGCAGGCTCTGCTCGGGGCTGGGAGGCCAAGGGCCTGCTGTGTGGAGCCTCATGAGGGTTCAGCTGGGGAGGAGGGCCAGGTGAGAAGAGCGCAGGGTCACCGCAGGCCTAGCGCGTGGGTCCTGCTGCCTGGCTCCTCCAGCCCTGGGCGCCTTGTTGCTGGTTCACAGAGTTGAATAGGCCCTGAGTCAGTTTTGTGGTGTACTGGGCCCCATAGAGTGTATCCCCAGGACCCACCACTGCTGCCGCAGCTTTACTATGTGGGACCAGGGGAGGGCAAGTCTTCATAGAAGCCCTCTCCTCCACCTCCCTCTATTTATTTACTCTCCACCCAGCCCCCCTTCTAGAGTCCCGGCAACCCGAGGCTCCAAGGGGAGCCCGTGGGGATGCTGACTCCCGGGCCCTGCCTGCACAAGGCGGGTGGGCCACTGGCTTTGCTCAGGGCTCTGGGTTCCAGCCGGTGGGCAAGCCCAGTGTCTCAGAGCCTGCCCCCCTCCCCCCCCAGTCCTACACGAGAACCAACTGACCCACACAGACTTGAAGCCAGAGAACATCCTGTTTGTGAACTCCGAGTTTGAGACCCTCTACAATGAGCACAAGGTACTGTGGGGGAGTGGGGCGCCGGCTGGGCCGGGCTGGGCCCTGGGCTCGAGCCCTGACCCGGCGCCTGCCCTGCAGCGCTGTGAGGAGAAGTCGGTGAAGAACACCAGCATTCGCGTAGCCGACTTCGGCAGCGCCACCTTCGACCACGAGCACCACACCACCATCGTGGCCACGCGGCACTATCGGCCGCCTGAGGTGATCCTTGGTGAGTGGCTGTGAGGGGATGCGCAGAGGCTGCTGGGTGCCCGCGGCCCCCACAGGCAGTGTCTCCAGTCAGCCTTACGGAGAGGCTCGTCTACTGCCGGCCAGGGGAGCAGCTGCCCGTGGCCACGGCCGGAGCTCGGGGCAGGACCTCAGCTTGCCTCCATCTTGGCTTTCAGAGCTGGGCTGGGCACAGCCCTGTGACGTCTGGAGCATTGGCTGCATCCTCTTCGAGTACTACCGGGGCTTCACGCTCTTCCAGGTACAGCGGCACCCACCCTCCCGAGACCCACTCCCACCCCCACCAGCCATCCATGCTGCGAGCTTCTGCGTGGAGGTGCTTGGGGGGCTGGAGTAGGAGGAAAGGGCACTCGGGGCGATGGGGACAGCCGAGGCCTTTGGTGGGTCGGCGGGCACCTTTCCCCAGGGCTGCGGCTGGCACTAACATCTGCGCACCCTGACTGTCTCCAGACGCATGAAAACCGCGAGCACCTGGTCATGATGGAGAAGATCCTGGGCCCCATCCCCGCCCACATGGTCCACCGCACCAGGTGAGGAGCCACTAGTCCCCAGGGTGGGCCCCAGGCCTTTCCTTCGTGGCAGGATGGGCTTTCCTGGCATCTGAGACTCCTGACAATCCTTCCTGGAGCTTCCGAAAGGCCCTGCTGGGGGTGGCCAGTGCCGTCCTTCCCCACCCACCACCAGAGGTTTGTTCCCTGTGGACTCCCAACACTTGACACCCTGGTCCCCATTTGCAGGAAGCAGAAGTACTTCTACAAAGGGGGCTTGGTTTGGGACGAGAACAGCTCCGACGGCCGGTATGTGAAGGAGAACTGCAAGCCTCTCCAGGTCAGTGTCCACGGCTGCCCGCCCAGGGGCCCTGACTGCTGAGGAGGAACCCCAGAGGAGTCCGAGGCCTGTGACCCCGTCACTTCCTGCTCCCCTTTCTCCGTTTGGGAAGGACTCGGTGGGGGGGGGGACGTCACCCAAGGGAACTGGCCAGGAGCACCAGGACTTTCCCTGGGGCAGAGGCACTGAGCCAGCACGGCACCCAGTCAGACCAGAGCACCAAACAGGCTCACAGCAAGGAGCTGCCCACTTCCGTCCAGGAGGGTGAACGTGGAGGTCCCCCCCTTCCCCCAGGTGTCCCGCCAGGCTTTGCAGAGGCAGGTGGCCTCAGCTGCCCTCGGCCACACTGCGCCCCGTGTCCCTGCAGAGTTACATGCTCCAAGACTCCCTGGAGCACGTGCAGCTGTTTGACCTGATGCGGAGGATGCTGGAGTTCGACCCCGCCCAGCGCATCACACTGGCTGAGGCCCTGCTGCACCCCTTCTTTGCTGGGCTGACCCCCGAAGAGCGCTCCTTCCACAATAGCCGCAACCCAAGCAGATGACAGGTGCAGGCCCCTGCATGGAGGCAGCGGCAGAGGTGTCAGCAGCCAGGACTGGGCTGCCCAGCCCCTTTCCTCCAGCCACCACCACCAGGCACCCGGCGCCGGGGTTGGGGCCGGGGCCAACCAAGGAACAGTGTCATGTGAAGGAAGGCAGGCAGGCAGGAGGAGCCTGCAGCAGGAGACTTGGTGCCCAGCTGCCAGAAAGCACAGATCTGACCCAAGCTATTTATATGTTGTAAAGTTATAATAAAGTGTTTCTTACTGTTTGTAACCCCTCGTACCCGTGTGTCCGTCTCCAGGCTCCTTGCCTTACCCCCACCCCCTGCCCCCATGAATAAAGTCTGTCTTAGCAGTTCAGCTTGTGGAGAGCCAAGTGTGACCTGGGGCTAGCCAGCTGGAGACCATTAGGAGGCAGGACATCCCTCTGGGCCTAGGTGGCAGGCCTACTGAGCACTCTGCTCCTGTTCCCGTGGCCTCCAAGGGCTCTGGGACACAGACTGGCCTCCCCACAGCCCACAGAGGCCCACGCACACCACAGGACTCGGGCATTCAGCTTTATTTCAGTGCTGGTTTGGGTTCCTCGAGTCACTGAGTGTCTTGGCCACCTGGCAGACTGGGCACTGCAGGCAGGAGGCCTTGGAGAAGAGTGGAGGGTCCAGGAGCATGCTAGCTCGAATGCCACTGGAGAAGGCAGGCCCAGGGCCACCGGGGAAGAGATGAAGTGGAGGCTCCGCACAAGCTCCCAGGGGCCCTCAACATGGTTGTCACCTCAGGGTCAGGCTGCCTGGAGCAAGCAGGGTCTTCTGAGCTGAGTGAGCTCTGGCCCCACCCTGCAGGGGCCTGACTGTCGAGCCCCCACCTCACACTTGCTTGGGCTGCCCCCTGATACAGAGAGCCCTATTTGGGGAGTGGAGGCTTAGGGAGGGAGGGCACCCAGCACCAGGCTCCCTCTCCCAGTCCTCTGCTCCTATGAGGTGAGGGAGAAAAGTGCCTGCCTGTCTGTGCCCACAGCCCGTGGTTAGTCCGCCCTGCTCAACCAGAGGCGAGCAGCGATGTGTGCGCCTGGGACCGGGCGGTCAGACAGCTCATCCAGACGTAGCCTCGTTTTGGCATCTGAGAGAGGGCACTGGCTTCCAGGGTGTGAAGCTCAGTGATGGGGGGCCCATGCTGGTGGGGGAGGCGGGCAAGCCCCACTCTGGGATGATGGCTGCTGAGGACCACATCCGGGAAGGGTAGTGGAGGGAGGCAGGCGAGTGAGCGGGCAAGGCCCCAGTTTGGGGAAAGGGTGGGCAGGGCAGAACCACCAGGGAGCCTCTCAGTGGCTCAGCACCAGGCTTCCCCAGAGCCTCCAATACTGAACATGAAAGCTGCACCCGAGGGGCCTGGCCCCAGACAAGGCAAAGGCAAAGGTTCGGCCAACAGCAAAAGTGGGAGGGTGGGTGGGGGCCCTGGTGACAAGATGGCATGGTGGGTCGACAGCACAGCCTGGTGCTCCCCACAACAGACAGGTGCCACCCCTACCTTTCAGAGGGATGCAATGGGGAAAATCTAGCATAAACTAGAGACAGGGTCACAAAAGATCCCTAAAAAACGCAGGAGGCTGGGTGCCTGGAGAAAGCCTAGTCACCCTGGCAAGGAAAGATGGGGAGCTTGCCCTCTAGTGGACAGCTGCAGCATGGCTGGCTCAAAGATGAGAAAGGGCTGCCCAGGCGGGGGAAGCAGGGGAGGAGCCACAAAGCAGGAAGGGCAGGCAGGTGTAGGCCCTCCACTGGGACGACCCTACGCCAGGCGCTCCCCCAGGCCCCGTGGCTGGTGGCTGTAAACCTGAAACACAGTCGGAGAGCTGCCTATGTCTGTAAACAAAGCCCCGCCTGGCCCCGTGCACGCAGAGGGAGGAGCGCCTTCCCAGGCTCCGGGCAGGGGACAGGTCAGTTTAAAGATACCTGTTCTCACAGAAGAAACATACCCGAGGGGGCAGGGGAACTGACAAGGCCCATGATGCTTCACACCCTTAAGGCCTTTGTTGTCGAGCCCCCTGTCAAGGCAGGGGAGGGAGTGCTGGGCCCGGCGCTCTGCCCCGCCTCTACGCTGAGTGCAGGGGGACGACGAACTTGCAGCCAAAGGGCGAGTGGTAGTTGATGCCCACTTCCTGGAACACCTGCTGGGGGATGCCGATGTCACACAGGTAGACTCTGCCGGCCTGGTCCCCCAGCGGCAGGGGCAGGCCTAGCGCTAGCGACCATTTGGCATCGATACCCTGCTCAACTTCATGCACAGAAGGGTCTATGCTGAGTACCGGCGCCCTGTTCTGGTTGGCCCAGGCCACGGCGGCCTTGTACCAGGGCTGGTCTCGCAGGAAGGCGTTTTCGGGGCAATCCAGGCAATTGATCACCAGGTCCACAGGGCTGGTGGGCAGATCTGCAAGCAGAAGCAGAGCAGCCTCAGCTGGGGCTAGACACCCCTCAGGGGCTTAGACACCGCACCGCCCCTCCCAGGCTGGGCCAGGTGTTAAAGGTCAGCATGTGGCAGCAGCCTACGGGAGAGAGCTGGGTTCTTCTCTCGGCCCCGCCCTTCCTCATCTCCTGGGGCTAAGCCCAACCTTCCGCCCACCACTGTCCTCTGCAAGCACTTGCCAAGGCTCTGCGGCCACACCAGGCCCTGGGACAGTGCAGTAAGGACCCGATGGCTCAGTCGTGGACCCGCCTCCGACATGAAACACAGAGCAACAGAAGCAAGCCAAATACGAGGGCGCCCGGGCTTGTGGTGGACGAAGCCTTTAGGGGGAGCCTGTGGACCATGGAGGAGCCATGTGGGAGAATGTGGCAGGAAAAGCCACAGCAGGAGCTAAAATAAGCACGTGCCCTCTCTCTCTCTCTCTCTCTCTCTCTCTCTCTCTCTCTCTCTCTCTCTCTCTCGTTGGAAAGGCGTGGCTGCCATGCCTAAAGCATGTGTCACAGAGCCAGGAAGGTCAAGAGTGAGAGAGCTGTCAGTTCGTTTTTGGGGGCCAGGAATCTGGCCTGAGAACTGAGAGGCTAATTCCTGGGCCATGCCTCCCCAAACTGCCAATGATCTCTTACAAGGCCTCTTCTCTGGGCCAAGCTGGCTCGAATCCTTTCCTGTGTTTTCTTCGGATTCGTCAGACCTTGCTCCACACTCCAGGCGAAACCTGGGGCCTGCTCCACTCAGTGCGGCTGTCCCTTCTCGAGCTTCCGCTGAGCCCACCTGCCGACACGCTGCTCGCCCGTCCCTTCTTCCCAGAGCTCCGAGGGCCAGCCACTCCAGTCCTTGTCTCCTCCACACTCGGCACCGCCTTCCCACTTTCACACACTACCCATCCTTCCCTCCTCCTCCCAGTCGGGACCCCCACTGGGAGCCTTCCCCTCACGCCAGTGTCTATGGCCCTGGACGCCCACAGGGGTGAGGGGTGCTGCTGAGCTGACAGTAAGCCCTGGGACAGGGCAGAGCTGCTCCGAGGGGCTCTTTAGGGAGGCAGACGGCCTGGCCTTTCCCACATGGACTGCTGCTGGGGCTCCATCTCCCAACCTTTCTGCTGCTGAGTTACCCGCTGTGTCTGCCACCAGGGTACCTCAGGGTCCTCCGGCAAGGCCTCTTTTTCCTCCCCTCCATCTCCCGATCTCTGGGAAGGCCGCTCCCCTCCCTGCCTAGCCTTCCCAGTGACACGGGGTCCTGACTCTGAAAGTCCCTGACTCTTCTCAGTCTCTTGCCCTCCATCGCTCAACGCCAGGTCGGCAGTTCAAACTCATCAGCTGCCCCTCTGGAGAGAGAGGAGGCTGTCTGCTCCCATGGAGACTAACAGCCTTGGAAAGCCCGTACAGGGTCCCTACGAAGTGGAACGCACTCGATGGCCGAGGGCTTGGTTTTGAGCAGCCACCTGACATCTGAGCACACGGTGTCCTTCCTCGGCTTCTCCCTGCAGTGCCTCCTCTCCTGGCTGGGCTCCCTCGGTCCTTCCTGCCTAGCTATGTCCCCACCTCCCAACCCAGCCCTCAATTCAGCAGCTTCATTATTTCCCACAACACTTATGATGAGCCAACCTGATACAAGCAGGGCTGCACGGTGCCGCTCCGTGGGCGTGTGGGCTTGCCATGCCGTCTCTCTGTCCCATCAACCTTGGGGGCATGAACCCACTCCCCTTGAGTGGGAGGGAGGACACCAGGGACATTGCTCTTGGAGGCAGCTTTGTCTTTATACACACGGTGCCTTTCCACCAATGGCCACTGGGTGGCACCAACAGGCCACCAAACTAGCACAGAGGGAGGCGGCCAGTGCTGCTAGGGGGAAAGCTCACCTTTGAGGCTAGAGACTTGCTGGCCTTGGGTCTTGCTGAAGAGCGAGAGCTCGTTGGTGATGGACTCCAGCATCTTCACAAAGTTGGGCAGGAAGAGGATGACCTGGACGTCGTGGTTGGCTAGGTGTCGTCCACAGCTGATGCCCTGAGCCCCCTTCACGTGGGGCCCACACAGCAGGGCCACTGTTGGTCTCTGGTGAACATTTTTGGGATTCAGCCTGGAACAGAGGGTGATAGGCGCAGGACTGGTGAGACTCACCAGCCCGGGCACTGCACACCGAGACCAGAGGGCTACTCGGGTTTCTCCCTTTTCACCAAGTCCCAGCCTCTAAGAGGGCCCAAACCCACTGCCCCCACCCCATACTGCGACTGACTTGTCTCTGGGGAGCCCACCGGGGCTGCTCATCTACCACTGCTGGCAGAAAACACGCGTCTGGTCCATGACCACAGTGCGGCTCTTCACGGTGTGGCTCCTGGGCCAAGCCCCGACTGACCAAAGGCCTCTGCAGCCTCCACTCCCCTCTCTACCATCCCCTCCCCCAAGTCAGGCAGCCCTCACCATGCCCTCCTGCTCTTCGACATCCCTGCCCAGGAGCCATCCACTTGGCAAACTGACTGCCTGGGGAGAGCCTCTCAAGCCCCATCTTCCAGGAAGCCTGCCCTGATTACTTTGGCTCACCTGAATTTTTTCCTTTTTTCAACTCGGACACCTGTAGCAGGTAGCAGAGGGTAGCATGGCACCCTCCTCCATCAGAGACCAAGTCCTCTCTACTGCGCTGTCCACACATTAGTGAGGGTGACAGAGAGCATCTACACAAGATACTACCTGCTTCATAGGGGGTGTGAGCTGAGATCATGGGTGACAGACCTCGGCAGGTGCATGCTCATTCACTGCTGGCCAATGCTATGGTACTGGCCACAGGGGACAGCAGGTGAGGGCTCCTGGGACGCCTACTTCTTGATGGAAAATGGCAGCCCTAGTGAGAGGCACGTGTCCGCAGTCCAGAGGACGGGAAGCACTTCAGTGCACATTCCCCAGGGAGGACGTCTCTCCAAGCACATCCACGCCCCACCAGTGCAATTAAAAAGCTGCTCCTGCGGATGCCTGGCTCCTCCCCCCTCCCGCCAGTGACAGGATGCTTATCTCTAAGAGCATCCTGCACCCTTTGTCCCTGGTTCTTCAGGGGCCATCTGCACCTCTCCTCTCTTGCAAGCCCAGTACTCCCTTCCACGTCTTCCCCTCGAGGGCCTGGACTACTCCAGATGAGTACACTGCCCATTGGTTGGTGTGTGTGCATGACCCGAGGCTTGCAGGCGTCAAGAACTGCCAACACCCGCTTCTCCCGGGATGAAGGGAATGAAGTCGAGCCCCGGCACGCCGCCATCGGCCAGCTTTGTCTTCTCTGACTGGAGCCCACGGGGGACGCAGGCTGGCCGTTAGTGCAGACCCGGTTCCCCTGTTTCCTCTCCTCTCACTGCAGCCAGGCGCTCTCCCGCCTCCCTGCCAAATGCTGCCCTCGGGATTCCAAAACGGACGGTTCCAAGGTGTGCGTGCCCCCCCCCACACCCCCAGGTGTTTTCTGCCTTCCAAAGATGTCTACTCTGACTGAAAGCTGAGCCAGGGGGTGAGCGCATGTCCACAGCCGCAGGGTGGCTGAGGGCCATCTCAGAAGACTAGTGATGAGAAGACAGGAGAACGTCTTCAAGTCAGAGACGCTGCCCGGGTCTGTCCCCTCCCTCGGAAGGACCGAGCGGTGTGGGTGTGGGCACCCCCCGCAGCAGGGGCACAAGGCAGGAACGCGGCTCGGCCTGGACTGGAAACCTGGTGCTTCTGCTTTCAAGCGGTACAACCTTGGCAAAGGCTCAAATCCGATTCTGCCGTGTGCTCCGTGGCAAACCGCACGGTGCTCCACAGACATGAAGCTTCAAGGTCGGAAGGGGCTTGGTTTCTCAAAGGAAAATCAACCACAGCTGTGCAGGACCAGAGCCGGCCCTTCCGATGCGTGGAAGCGGGGAGCCCGGGCCAGAAGTGAGGAGGGCGCTGGTACATCAAGGAGGCTGCAACCGAGGCCAAGAAACAAGCGGTGGACAAAGTGCGTGCACAGTGGGGACGGGTCTGCTCTGCAAACCTGCACCTGAATGACACTTTCAAAAGGAGAGAGAAAGCACAAGCCGTTCAGACAAAGAACCAGGTCCATGCACGGCCAGCACCAAGGAGCTGGCTAGAAGGAGCAGGGCAGTCCGCTCCTGCCCAAGACAGCTGCTTCTTAGAATCCACTTTAATGGCCTCAAACACGCTCCCCTGGGGAAAGCCGAGGTTAGGAGCAGCTTCGAATGTCTGCGCTGGAGCCAGTGCTCCTTCAGAACCAGCCCCACCCTTCTCTGTGGGGTCTCTATCGGCAATTCCCTGGCACAGGAGAGCCCAGGGAGCCAGCACAGGTGGGAAGCAGGCTCAAATCAAGGAACGAGGCGTGAGCACCCCAGAGCTCTATTGGGAGTGGAAAGGAGAGGAGCCCTCATACCAGCCTGGATCAACCCATGTGTATCAAGGCGACTTAAAGATCACAAGAAGCCTTGCGTGCAAACACAGCCTGGCGAGGACACCAGGGATGGGACAGACCATGGCTGGAGGGGAGCCAAGGACTCCCAATCCCAGGGCTGAACACACAGTTCCTGCCCCAAACAGCAAAGGGAAAGCTGGGCCATCTGAGGCAGCTCTGCTGGGCTCCAGGGCTGCTGGGTGCTGCACAGGGAGACCAGGCCCTCTCGGTCCTGCTGGATGCAGGCCTCCCCGCTCCTCAGAGACCGCTCTCCCCACTCAACACGCCCCTCTCCCCCACAAGTGCCATCGTCCTTTAAACTAACAAATGTGCCAGACACCTGCCAACTCTAATTTTGCTTGGCCCTCGGCGATTCTGCCACCAATCATTCTTTTCTCTTGGCAACACTGACTGCTTCCTTGGATCTTCGCGCTACCCGCCTGGCTCGCTCTCGGTCTACTGGGGAGCTGCTCGTGCTCACAGTGGATGGTCCCCAGAATTCGCTCTGCACCCCTCTCTTTTGACCCTCCGAGGAGGCTGCTTTCACAAGGGCTACACGGGATGAGTCCGACCTCTCTGCTGAGTGCAGGCCCTTTTCAGATGAGGTCACAGGGGCAGCTTAAATGCAGCAAAACCCAGACAAACCAGCCCCTCCCCAACCGGTTCCTGCCAAGGCTTTTACCCTCCAAGTGGTGGTCAAGACAGAACGCTGCCCAGTCCAGCACTCGCTCACCCACGCTCCCTTTTCCCTCGCCTGCACCATCCATTCAATTACCTCGCTCTGCTGATCTCACGCCCATCAATTTCTCCCCACTGTTCTGACGCCTCCGTCCCTGGTTGGGGCTACCATACCTCTCTGCTCCAGGTTTAAACCGTTCTTTCTGCCTTAGACTTACTTGTCCCCATTTGGTCTACGGTCTGCACGGCACCATAGTCGCCTTTAGAAAGTGTAAGCCCCGTCCCATCACAGCACCACGGGAAGCCCCCAGCAGCAGCTCCTCACTGCTCGGCTGTACCAAGCTGTCACCTTCCAGCCACACAAAGCAGTGCCAGGGCCTCTCAATTCTCCCTGCCCAGCCACGGGCACTGCCTGCGCCCAGCATCCACCTCCTCCCCCTTCCTGCTCACCCTACTCTCCAGGACCCCTGCTCTGAGAAGTCAGATGGGCAGCAGGGTGGCAGCTTCCTGGGCCATTTTCGACTTCCTAGGCTCCGACTCTGTGGCCGGTGCTACTTGGGGGCAGGAGCAATCTGCCGGTCTTCGTTCGTGTATCCCGAGTACCTAGTGCACAAGGTCTGCGACAGAGTGTCACCAGCAAAACCAAACACGGGTGCACTGCGCCCGCTCACGGGAGCCCAGGGGCAGGTGGGAAAGTACCAGCCCCAGCTCCCGACCCCACCGCCAGTGTCTCTGCAAGTGCGCAGGGATGAACCTCGGGGCGAACTGCACCCCTAGCCCAGGGTCCAGGGCCGTCTCTGCGGGTTTCTAGAAGGGAGGCAGCCGAGTCTCAAGGGCAGGCAGTGGCTGTGAACGAGGAAAGTGGGAGGCCGCAGGCTGGCTGTGAGGAGCAGAGGACGTCCGGAAGCCGAGTGGAAGGAAGGGCAAACAAAGCTGCCGTCACACCTGCTCTGGTGGATGGCCGCTCCCGAGAGGCCAGGAGAGCGCGCCCACCGCATGGAGCCCTTGCTGTGGCTCAGGCGCTACCTGTTGGGTCCTCCGAGCAGGGTCAGCGCCATCTGACTGGCACAGACGCCCGTCATCTCCAGTCTCCGCTCCAGGGTCAGCCCATGCTTCTCAGCCACAGCCAGCAGCTTCTTATGCAGCTCGTAGGAGACACTGGGGACCACCAAGCCGGAGTCTGCAGGGAGAAAGGGAAAGTGAGGGCAGGGAATCAGGGTCAGGCACAGGTGTGTGCGTGCTGTCCTACAAAAGCCAACCCGCTCACCTGCATGGAGTACAATCCCTGCAGCGCTCCCAGGTGCAGGCAGCGGGTGTAGGACGACGAAGCACAGCCCCCTGGGCAGTGAGCACCGCCGGTGAAGGCCCAATCTTCCACGGCGTATGTGGGACCCCCGAGAAAGCCGAGCACAGCGTAGTGTGTGAATCAGCAGCCCACCAACCAAACGAGCGCAGCACCTGCTTTCCCCAGATGGAGGGATTGCCACAGCCGTCCTGCAAGTCGGCCTCCCGCTCCTCTCCCGGCTCTCCCTTCTGACCCCGTCTCGGGGCAGGAAGACCTGTGTACTCCCTCTGCTTCCTCTTCCTTCTCCTCTCTGCTACTCAGTTGAGGGCACATCCAGTAGCCAGCTTATCCACCCAAATAATCCTGTCATGTTCTCCAAATCTGGGCGAGTGCAGCCAACACTCCCAACACAGGGAAGCGGACGTGTAAGGAAACCCCTGCTCTCCTTTCATAAGCCATCCAGAATAAAAACCAACGTTTTCTATTCATCGTGAAACATGGGAACTCGAGAAAGGCAGGCTGGAGACTCCTGGGCATTACAAGTATGTTCTGGAAAGTACCTGGTTCTTCTAGGCTCTCAGTTGCCATCTGCACCGGCTCACACATGTTAGGGTGCACGACGGCACTGCAGACATCAGTCACCAGAGTACCGGGTGATCCGGAGTACCAGCTCCAAGAGGCCAACGCCATCGGGCTGGAGAGAGGCGAGCAGACCCTTTGCCCAGAGTTTATGGGAGTCGGACCAGTAAATGAACACCAATAAGCAAGTCACTGGTGGCAGCGTGGTTATGGATTGGGCTGCGATGGACCCTCAAGGTCAGCATTGGAAGTGCCCAGCATCCCGGGCCTCGACATGGCAGTGAGAGGGACTGCAGGTGAGTAGCTTGGTCTGACTAGATGCGATGCCTCTTTGGATTTCCTCAGACATCCAAGTCCTCCGAGTCTCCTCAACTCAGCCCAGTACTGTGTCCACCACGGAGAACTGGACTCTCTAAAGGATGCAACCTGGGCTAGGGAGACTGCTGCTCCGGCCTCTCTCTGTTCTCTGTGTAGTTTGGGAGCCCTGCGTCCACACCCCTGGCCTCCGCGCGGTTAGATGTCTGGTGTTGCTTACATGCACTTCTACACCACAAGACACGCGGTGCGACTGCCCAGTGCGACACGGGGAACTCAGGCACAGAGAAGAGCCGGAAGCACCCGTCAGGCAATGGAGGGGTGACCCGCACCCCAAAATAACAAGCTCATTCTAACCCTGGTTCCCGGTGCCCCTCTTTCTCCCCCTTGGGCAGAAGTCACAAACAGTGCCACTGGGGAAGTGGTGCAAGGCCCAGCACCTGGTGTCCCAGGTGTCAGTGCAGGAGGCTGCAGCCTGACCTCTTGCATGCCAACAGCCGATTCAAACAGCCACTTTAGGCACAGAACATCAGAACCAATTAGGAGCTGTTGATCACGGTGTGAAGACACTGCCGGATTCCCAGGAGTCCTAAGCCACAGCACTGCCTGAAACCTGTCAGACAAGTCACGCCGCTGCCTGCTGCAAACAGCCTCTTGCCTGCAGAGTCACGCAAGCCAGCTCGCACTCTTCACTGGCTTAGCAGTTCCCCGGTGAACCTGAGACCAGGCAGGGCAATGCTCTTGCTGGGCCCAGCCTTGTGCTTTGTGGACACGTACCGCACCCCCATCTTCCCTCCGGGGGGGCTTTAGGGGTCTCTGAAGGTAGGCAGAACCATTTTTCGCAGGCCTATCGCTCACAGTCCTTAAGGTCCCAAGGGAGGAGTCCTCAGCCCCCTACCTCTACCTCTGCACCTGCTGGCTAAATCTGGCAGCTGAATCTGGCTAAATCTGGTCCCGCATGGCGGGACCGCCCTCTCCCATCAGTGCTGCGGAAGAACTGCTGTGGATGAACCGGTGGGTCTCTGCCCAGGGAAACACGGCCCTGCGGCCGGCGCCTCTTCACTTGCTCTTCTGAAGGGCCAGTGCCATAAACCACACGCTTTTCCACATTTACACACGAAGCCCAACCAGACTGACGGGCTCACCAGAAAAAAGAAGAGGAGGTGCAGGAACTTCCAGAGCACAGCATGAACAGCACAGCACCAGCACCACCACCGCC